GTTATCCAGAGAGCGGGTTGCTTGGTGATTTCCTGCTAGCTAATACATTTCTGCTAGCGTATTTAATCCGTGTTCCCAGCAGAGCCAGTCTGCGTACAGTTCATGTGTAGCAGAACAAGCTGCTCAGCGTTTTCATTGCACAGCAACAGAAACAAACAGCAAAAGCATTGCCAAGGCACAATCTTGCTTTGCCGAGTTACAAAGCACACGCAGAGTTCTACCAGAGTCGGACCCCTGGCCTAGGAAGCACCAGGAAACAACGACTGGGAGCAGCTGTCTTGGCTGCCCATTTCAAGGCTCTGGCCATACTAGTTACAGTGCTGGGATGACAATGTGCAATCCACTGGTCCATGGTTGGAGTGAGGGAGGGAAGCCCCGCAAGCACTGCTTCATCTCATGGCATTGACTCAGCTGTGCAGCTCCTGACATCCAGAAGCAGAGTTTGACTCTGCAAGATAGCAACTGTGAGTACATGGCAAGTACTTTTCTCCGGACAAGTCACGGGCTCCAGAATCGGTTCAAGCCTGTGCAGAATTCACACTTGCTGAATGTGCACGCTTGTACGCACCAAACGATTCATCTGGTACAGATCCCACACTGAAACTCTGCCCTTTCATTCATTTGCAATTAATATTTGAATAAACAGTATCATTATTTTTACTCACTATAATCTAGAGAAGAAAAAAATAAATCAGGAATTATGGGTTATACAAAGTAACCTGTGACCACACTGATCAATCCAGTTCACTAATTCCCCTTCATAATGGTAAAAAAAAAAAAAAATTAAAAAAAAATAAAAAAAAAAATCTGTGGTCTAAAAAAAAAAACAAACCCAGTTTAAAAAACCCCACTAAAACTATGCCTGGCCCTCAAAACAGCTGCTGACCAGACAGATGTTACCACCTGTTAAGAATAATAAATGCGACTGAAATATGAAATAGAGGCAGACCTCAGCTTGAATCAAGAGACAAGGGATTAAAGCACTGAGGGGAAAGCAGTCACAAGAGCAGATACAGTACACTCTGAACAGTAACTGTAGCGGACATCATGCAGCCTCTCCATCTTGATGGGAAATACAGTGCACTGCTGGCAGGAACACAGAGCCTCTCCCAATTCATTCTCCAGTCCAGGGAAAGCAGTTAAAAAAATGCTGAAGCAAATATTTTTTATTTTTTTTTATTTTGTTTTTGCGAAACAAGCAAGTTTGATAAACACACCTCAGAGACCTAGAGTCTAAACATAAGCAAGTGAGTTCAGGATGTAAACAGAGAATGTGATGCCCGCTCAGGCTAGGATACTGTATGTCTGTTACAACCATCAATTTATCAGTCCAATGCACCGAAGATTTCCCCTTTTAGCAGGGGATTGCAAGTGAACTTCCAAAACATTTGAGCTGTTGGTAAATGGTATTTCTTGGTTACAAGGACTGGTGAGGATCCTGCTTTAGCACAAAGTACTTTTAATTTACACCATGAAGTGCAAAAGCGGAGGTTATATATGTAATATCAGCACTGGAAATCTGGCTGGCCAACAACCCTCCTCAGTTTACCAACAGTAATTAATTTGCCAACAGTAATTAGTTTGCCTTCTTCACAAGATAAGTCACTTAAACAACTTTTCTGTCTTACATTTTCGATTTCACTGTCTCAAGGATGTACTTCCTGATTGTACAAACATATTCTTTTAAAGACTAGGAAAGAGTTAATTAACTAGTGAATAACAGAAAAGTTATAAAAATTTTTCAGAAGAGACATTATGGCAAAGAGCCACGATACAATACTGAAACTACCAGTGTATCAAACAGCCACTCCAGCCACTGATGACTGTGCAGAGCTAATCTCTGCTGTCTCTTCCACCTCCATCCTACCTCTTTCTTCCTGAAAGGTGTGGGAAAGGTCCAAGTGGCATGGAAATAAAACCTGGGAGTAACCTGAGGAAGGACCAATTTGCCACACTTGGAACATTTCCTGGTTTATCATGATACTCCTGCCTATGTCTCCTCCAGGTGAAAAGATGAATAGCTTAACAGGCCAAGGCTGCTACTTCCAGTGTATTGTGGAGCCTAAGAGATATCAAGAGGAAGAAATACTGCCTGCTGAACAAAGTGGGAAATGTGATTTACTTCCGGGTTCCCTTGCCAAAGTCTGTTTCTCAAATATCAGATGAATTTATCCCAAGCACTGGTGTGCATAGGTCATAGAATATGCCTTTTATTTCTTCCAGAGACAGGAACCCAGGAAGTGTTTTCACCTCTTTATAGGTTTATTAAATTCTACTGGGTTTAGACCTAAGCTTGAAATCTCACTCAGTTTCTTTACTGTCTGCCCCATAATGAGTCACAGACCTGAGAATGTTTCCGTACACTGTGCTTACCTGCAGAAACCTGACCTCTGTGCAAAAAGAACATTTAACCACATGTAATGGGCACCTCTAATAGAAGTTATTTTATTAGCAGAGCCACTATGCTTTTAGTAATTCAGTTTGACTTGACACCTGTGAGACCCCCATTATGTATCTGGCCAGAGTTCCTCCATCCAAAGTGTCATCTTAATTCATTGCTCCATTTAAAACTTGTTATCTCGAGAGCCAGAAGTCCCTGCCCACTGTACATAATTCATGTTTTCAATCCATTCCCCCTTCCCTCTCACCTAACATCTCACCCTTCAAAAAGTAGAGAGTAACCTGCATGCACATTCACCCAACTTCTACCTAACCTGTTTCTTGAAATTTTTGAGGTCACGAGTTATGGCCTCCAAATGTTCCTAAACACCCATATACTTCACAATTTTTTTTCCTGTTGTCTTAACCAAATTATGTGAGATTTGTGTTAGAAAAAGTGTCTCCCTCAGTCTAGCAGACAAAGGCACAACAGTTTCTAATGGCTGGCAAGTTGAGCTGGCCACATTCACATTGGAAATAGTCTTTTAAAAGCAATTAACTGTTGGAACAACTTACGAAGGATGATAATGGATGTCTCCATCACTGGAAACTTTCAGCTAAAGCTGCTGGTTATGAAGTAGTAATTACATTAATGGAATTTCTGTGGTTGTCTTTATGAGCAAATTAAAATAGATTATCTGAATTTATTTATCCCCAGACTGGGATATAAATCTCCAGAGTTTATTGCCCTCCTTTAAAGGCCATAAAGCTATACTTACATTAATTTATCCTATGTATTGAAAAGTCTTCACAAACTGACTTAAAAAAGCATGTCCAGTTTTCATCTTTGTAGAATGAGGTCACTGAAGGCACATACAAAATAGTAACAATTGGACAGGGGGAGGAAAACAGTTCAGACAAAACATCTGTTCTGAAATGTTTCAAACAATTTTATTAAACAATCATGTTTTACACATCATCAGACCTAACCCCTGAAGTGCAAAAATGTTTCTGAGGTATTAAGACTGGAGGAAAACAGGCATGGTATCAGTTGTTAGGGATACCACACTACAGCACAGTGGACTTTGCGAACAAGAGGCCTTTGTAGAGCATTTTCAGGATTGGAGAAAGCAGAACAAGTCTGTATTTGTCTTTAGTCTTGAGAGCCAAAAAGCCCTGATCATTAGCCAGTGCCGTCACATCAATGAAAACACAGACATGGTAACACAGGATGATGATAAATATCAATGAGGTGTTCCTAGACCAATATGTACAGTACATGAAAAATGAATCTTAACTGCTGTATCTGTGATCAAAATCCGAACTGTCTATCCAGTCCAGCTTAATATATGTTGCGTCTACGGTAGCCTCTCTAGTACCAGCATTTTTGTCTATTCTACACAGCTTGCCACTGCCCTGTGCTCATGTTTGAGGGCACCTGGCCACTCACACTCACTTCAGGTAAGTCTAACGTTTATCAGATTAATGAGAGTCAACAGTATGGTACTG